TCTAGTTCGTAAACTCAGTTCTTTATAAACTTTAGTATTTGACTTATTATACAGGGTTAATCAAAGGGTTGTTTTTCAAAAAAAAATAATGAAAATAAAAAAAATATAATACTTTAAATTTGATAAAAAAAGTTCCCCCCCCTTGCGTTTTTTGCATACATAAAATTATATACACATGTTTGAAATCCTATATACTAAAGAAAAAAATAATAATAAAACTTACCATCATATTAGGTGAAGTGCTATTTCCGATCTACCAAAACTTGTCCTATCTGAAAAAGAAAATAATAATAGATATATATACAGGGTGAGTCTTAAATAATAAAGTCTAGGTTTGAATATGACTGAGTTTCTTGCATATGTACTCCATGTTAACTTAAATTCTTCTGTTGATTTGTGGTAGTACAGATACTGAGCTGTGTAGTAGTTATCCTAAATATATTCATTCTTCTACTATTTCCAGTATTATAGTAGGTATTTATCAGAATGTCTTTTCTGTCTACGGGTTCGTTGTACATTACTTTAACTTTTGCTAAATTCATTTTGAGATCTACTTTGTAAAAACATATCTTAAACAAAAAAAATACACATTATATATTAATGTATTAAGTGTTTATAATATAATCAGATAACACATCAAATATTTTAATTAATTTTCTGAAAATATAAATCGGAAAATTGAAATATTTTTAATGAGATTTATTTCTAAAAAATGCCTTGTTCAATGCCACAGGTATTTCCAACATTATAATGATCGAAGTCAATATAGGTATAAACAAATACCAGGTTTTCTAAAAAATGTATATATCTATATATTTTTGTATATTTATATTTTCAGTTTTCATGAAGATTAGTTTCGTAAAACGTTTTCAAATACAGTTGATTATCTATCTGTCATAATAGCTATAATATTGAACTGCATTGTTTATTTTACGAGGAGATGTTTCTGATAATTCCCGCACATATCACTATCTTAATATTTTCAAATGAATCACAGCACTGCAACAGTAAGCAGAACTATAAAAGCGATAACTGACATATTCGGTATTATCAAATTTTTATTTTCCTGTATACGAGGTGGTCCACAAATATCACGGTTTACCAATATCAGCAATATCATACCCTGATCCTGATACTGAAAGTAAACATTCTGTTTTATAAAATAATCCAATACATTGTTTTATAAAATTAAAACAATTTAAAAGTAACAGAATAATATTATTTATTTGATATACGCATATAAAAAAAATCTAGATCTAAAAATAGATCTGTAAAAAATTATAGTCCTACGTATAAAACCACACCCTATACTATAATTCACAGACATTCACATTTTTATTTATTTTTTAGTCTTTAAAGTGAATTAAGTTTATTATGTCCCGATACTGGTAGTATAAAACGGCATTACTTGCCAAATTTCATAATTCTAGGCCAACTGGAATAATTACGATTCCCTTGAGAGTGTCGAATTATACATTTTTTTGCGGTACAAAGGACTCTGTATGTTTTTTTACGTTAACTTTGAAGTTTGATTTTTTCACAGCTTCAAGGGCCTGTAGACCTGAGTAAATGGTTTTAATTTCAACTCGATAACTCCACGCGTTCCCGAGGTAAAGGGTCTTGACAGACAGACGTACGGAAAACAAAGTGATAATAAGGGTTAAAAGCTTCCAAAAATTCTTTATTTAAATAGAGAACAATTAAAAAAAATAGTCAGTTTTAATAATAATTTAATTGTTATATAATTTCAATTTTAACTCTAAATGATTCCGCGACATACCCGGAACAAATTTTACATTACGAGACACCCCGTATAAACTAATGGAACTGCCAACACTTGCAATCCTGATTTTTCACCTTACAGAGCACACACTCCAGTCATTTGAATAGAAGCTGAAGCAAGAAATGGATAGCACATTGAGTAAGTCATATATAAAATAATTATTGTTTTAAATTTAAATTACTGACTTAAAAAATATTTTAGAGATGTTTCTTGTAGTATATTTGCTGCTGCATTTTTCACTACTTCTACCACCGTCAAAGAAGCGTAGTGTTATACTCGACACTAGTAACTATCTGAATTTGAGCTGCCTGTTAATGAGAAAACAAATCGAGGAGGATATACAGGCTATAGCGAAATTAACAAACATTAAAATGACTGCTAGAGCTACAGAGATTGTTGTTCGAGAACTGCTGAGGCAGAAAAATATCACATCTCACAGGTATTTAGGATGATAAAAAATCATGTTTCATTAGAACTACGTAGTCGATTATTTAATTATAGTTTTTTTTATTTACTCAAAAAATAAAACTATATGTTTTATTTTTTGATTAGTATAAAAACGATGCATTAATAACTTGCCTTTAAATTACCTTTGTGGGAAATTTGTTATTGAAATGTATTTCTCATACGCCAGACTAGTTAAGCATTTTCAATGTTTACGGCTTCAAAAAATCAGTTTAGTTTTTTATGATTCTACTACAGAAAATCATTATATTGCATTAAGAAACTCTAATCTATATTTATGATTTAGTCTTAGTTAAATATGGCCAAACTATTATATTAGTGTTTAAGTAAATTGTATTATAAGTTAAGAACTCTGGGGTAACTAAAACCTGTGATAACTTTGTATAAAAAATGTATATAAACGCTGTCATTTTAATATTAAAATCTAGTTTATTCCTTAGAAAATAAAAACTCAAAACTATATTTAAACTGCCAGTTTTCAATATTATTTTAGTTTAACATATAAATATTCACTTTTTACTGTAGATTGTAGCCATATACTTGTACAGAAGTGTAATTAGTACATTATTTTATATTATCAGTTTATAGCTTATACTTTTAGTGTTTAGGTAATTTGTATTATAAAGCAACGATTCGTCAAATTACTGTGATATTTTGTACATAAGCTGTTCAGAAAAACTATACTGATATTATTCTTCTAAATTTCTCTATTGTAAGAGAACTTTTTACCTTTTTAATCAAACTGCCAGTACTTTTATTTCTTATAATATATAGCAGTATTATTATTGATAAAGTTTTTATTTTCACTAATTTTAATTGTTTTCTGTTTTAGTATAGATAATAATTTCTTATTTTTATTCATTATTTTATATGATAATATGTTATAGTATAGTATTTTAATATAGTTTAATTATTATTTTATTTCAATCTATGTAATAATTTCTATTTTATATTAGCAATATGTTCCTATAAACATAAACTATAATTTTTAGATCATACTTTGTTAATTTGTTATTATATATTTTAATTATCACAAATATAAAGTTTAACTTTTTTTGTTGTTATTTAACACTACTTCTTTTTACGTAATAAAAATAATTTGAATTACAAAATATGCCTATATTCTTCTAGAAATAACTTTAATTCTAAGGATTTTTATAATTTTTTTTTATAATTCTAAGTTTTTAAAGCTGATAATTTTTTCTGTTCTCGTGTAATTATATTTGGATTTTCTCTTACCATAATACATTAAAGTCAATATTTAAAGAATGGTCATTCAGAAAGTTATATTTAATTCATAAATACATAAAGTATTTAAAAATATAAAATAAAGGAGTAGATCTTTTAATGCTTTATGCGAGAAGTACTACAGGCGACATCTGTGGTCCTTGCCCGCAATTTCTCAATAAAAAGCTTTAAATATTTGTGGATCTCTAGATTTTCGTTATTTTTAGGCATTCGATTAACTCGATAAAATTAGAGTTTTCTATAGCATCTTGAACTTTTATTAGAAGTTTTTATTGATTTATATTTTTACATTATTGACTGGTATTTATAAGATTTCTTTTTCATCTCCCTTGGGCTATCCATTAAACTCCTAAAATACAGTTTGCTATACCCTTTTGCCTGTTGGGGTTCCTGTTAATTTTTTTATATATATTTTTTGCTTTTCTAGCTAATAATAACACAGATAACACATATGTTATCTGTGATAATAATTTTAGTTATAAGCTAGTGCAATAATATGTAAACTGTTTTTACTTTTAATACTGTTTATACTGTATTCTCTCATATAATATTAAAAAATATATATATTTAAAAAACTTATGATGTTTAGAATTTTTTAATCTCTAATTATTTTGAGCAAAACGAAATATAAAAGATCTTATAATTAAATGTAATTTGAAATTATGTTTGCCGATATTTTTTAAGTGTTTAAAAATTTAGAACAAAGATGAAATAAAAATTCTGTCGTGTGATGGGGCATCCATAACTAAAAATATAAAGTTATATTATTTTAGATTATATTTACTGTGCTACTTATTAAAATACTGTATTTTGGAAATATAATTCACTATATTATATAAATTAAAATACTTTAAGCTGATATTCTTATTTAAAGAACATACTATGAAACTTAAAAAAAATATAATTAAAAGTAGTAGTGAGCGCGACTGGTTATGGGTCATAGTTAAAGAACCAATACCAAGACTAGCATTTGATTTGCAAGACCAAGACAAAGCATGTAACTCCTGTGGTCATGCATTTTTTCTCGTTTATATGTGATACTAGCTGATATATCAGTAGTCCACTTCACTGTGCATAAAAACGATATACATCTTGCAATGTTGGTGTACAGTGTGAGTATGCTTTAAAGTGGATTAAGTTAATTATATCAAACACAGAAATGAAATTAAATGATTCAAGACATGAAAATTTTATTTTTTATTTGTTCAAAATTATTGTTTTAATTTTTTACAAATAGTGGTTTCGTCACTATTGCATAAAATTAAAAAAAAATAAGTTAGTAAAAAATACAAGACTTGCAAGAGTTTTGTGGAAGACCAAGACTGAACCCTGCAACAAAAAAGTGGGAAATTGCTAATATTGGTAAGGATATTTGGTGGTGCATAATAAAATAAGACTTTTTTATATTTACTTTATTTTGACACTGATTATACAGCTATGTGGAACTAGATTCTTTAAAATACCTGTGCTTGCTAAAGGCAGTAAAATATTTTTAAAACTTCTGTTATTAGACAATACATCTAGCGTTTTGCTCTGTCTCTAAGAGGCACATATAAAGTGCTTTAATAAATATCACATTTATTCATTTATATAAAATTGGATATAGTTTATTGGTTATACAAACGCATCTTGAAAGCATAGTGTTTTCAATTACGATGGAATTGCGTACAGATCTATAACAATATCATAATAATAGAGCTTCTTTATATTAAAAAATACAATATCTTCGTCCCTTGAAAGCTGCTTGCTGAAAAACGAAGTTATATTTGATATGTACACCTAATTATATTAAAACATCACATTTTGAAGTAAATGGAGATGGGTCTGAAAGTATACATATATACATCATTTTTCTATTCGTTATTCGATACTTGGTTTAAACAACGACAATATAAATACATAATTAGAGAAGAAAAGAGATCTACTATCCATAAGTTGCCATAAGCCAAAAATCAAGACCCATATCCATTATAACCTTAAGAATAAAAATAGTTCTATCTGAAATATAAATAAAATTTTAGCTTAATATGCAACATTTCCTAGGGAAGAAACATAACGACATCTTATATAGATGTTATATTATAAATAAGATATAAACATACTGAATATTGGTATTTAGACAGTTGTTACTGATAGCAACCCTATAAGTTTTCCATTTGCTGGTGGTGGCGTTTTTTGACCATGGACCACCACCTCCTGCACCGAATTTTCATGGCCCTCTTTCTCTTTGTGTGTCCTGGACTTGATACTTCGATGTTTCTTTACTGTGTTGTCAAGATTATTGGCTGCTTTCCGTGATGATGACTTAAACTGTTCCTCGCTGACTTCTTCAATATTTCGTGATGCCATTAGGATCTCCTGCCTTTGTTTTCTTTCCCTAGATTTCTCCAAATGCTTCTTGCGTTCTTCTTTTGTCCAGTACCGACCGATCTAAGGAAAAATCGTAATAATTATAGTAAATGAAACTGAAATTTCAATGTACCTTAAGTTCAGAAATGGTATCGTCCTCTGTGGTTAGTCCAGCTCTTTCTTCAAAAATTTTCATTTCTCTGTTCTTCAATATTCGGTTTCTTACAGGTCTTCTGGCAATGTATCTAGTTCCATCCGGTCTTCGTTTTACCTTCCATTCCATTTGAGACTCGACTGAACTTTTATCTGGTATTGTGTTGGTGGTATAACTCTGTAAATAGTATAGTAAAGGTAACCAAGTATGTAATGGCGGAAAAAATTAGTAACCAACAAATCAGCTGAAACGTATAATCAAAAACTAAATCTTCTATATTATCTATTCATTTTTTTAATGCCTCTGGCATATATGAAATAAATAAAATAAAAATAAAGACACTTTTTTGTAGAAAATTAAATTTCAAAACTTTTTCCTTGGATCATTTTTCCTCTAAAGTAATTACTAATAGAGATATAGCTATTTTTAGTGCGTCTATGGCAGATATTAAAACTTTCTGAAGCCAATCAACTATAATATTTACATTAATAGTATAATGTTAATATAGAGTAACCAAGAATAAATTTAAGTATTTAAAAAATATAAAAATAAGGGTGATTTTCAAAAAAAATTGTCTAATTATGTCGTTTAAAATTTAGTTTTTTTACAAAAAAATGGGTCTCTAGTTTTTTCGAAAAAAAAGTTATCCAAATGGATATATCTGTAAGGCAATCCAAGGCTGGGACCGAATGGGACTTTTGAGGGGTTAAATAGCATTCCAGCTCAGATTGGTTGGTTACTAAATTCTTCAACCTCAACCTCGAGATGGACTGGGCTAAAAGATAAACGCAATTCATAAACGGGTAACTTCCATTCAACACTTATATATTTACTGTTAAATGACATAGTGAATTTACCTGAGATCCACTAACAAACTGATACTGGCTGAGACTAGGTGAAGTAAAACTAGTAGTAGGCCTTGTACTGACCACTTCAGAATTCTGCGCTACGAGTGCCTGTCTGAACAACTGTTGTTGCAGTAAAATCGTTTGTTGAAGATTTGCAACGTTTGTGTACATCGTATCAGACAGAATGTGGGCAGGACTTAATCCCATTTGCCTTGTGGGCGACGATGGGCTTACAATTTTAGAACTCGATTTAGATTTCTTTGCTTTATTTGCTACTTGGCGTTTGCACGATTCGCACGTAGTTTTGGCTTCTTTTTCTTTGGTCACATCTTCTTTTTCTTCTAGAGGGCACAGTATTAAAGTTGATCTATAAATAAAATTTATTTTTAATTTCTTCAATTAAAAATTTGATGAAATGAAATGATGAAAATTCGGTATAATTCGTGTAGTGGCCAATCAATTCGTATTATCTACTACATTTCAAATTAGAATTACATTTTTCATTATAAAAAAATATACGATATAACCATTTTTTTTTAATATTCACAGTTTCGGAGGCCTTAAAAAAAGCGACTATTCAACACCATGTGATATCCAAAGACAGAAGATCTGACAAGATCAGTAGGCGTTTAAAGCTGATGGGAATGTTGGACGAAGCCATGTGCAGATTTTGATCAGAAGAAAGAACGGAAGGACACATAATATATACCAGTGTAATAAATGTACGGTTCTTTGTACTAGGCCATGATTGGTAATATAGATCTTTACCAACTCATTGGTAAAGATCTATATGGAGCGGTTAGTTTCCAAGTTAGTCTTTTTAGAAAAAAATACGACTCGGAATGTGACCTAGAGATCAGAAGACGAAAATGTCATCTAGATATATTTAGGGATAAAAACTCTAGTAGTTTACTATGATAGATAGTAAGTAATTGATTTATTTATAGCTTTTCTATAATAAACACATACAAATTGAGAGTGGTGGATGATATAAGTAAATTAAAATAAAATATTGTTTCAAAGCTTACTGTAACATCTTACTCAATCTCGCAGTATATATTACTAGCACCTAAAAATTCAGTGGTACTCTAAATTTTATTGGGTATTAAATGAAAAATATATTCACTACTAAACATGTATCTTGAAAACAAATACCGTTTTACATATTTTTATAGTGATTGTAAGAGTGGTTACACAACAAACAAATTATTTTCAACAAAACATCTTTTATTGAATTGAAAATTCTATCCCATTTTTTATGACTTCAGATATAAAATTATTAAAGGAATATGAATGGAAAATAATAAATATGTAATAATATAAAAAAAATGTCTAGATCAAACTAGAAGATCAATTATCAATAGATATCCTACGGGTCAACATATATTTGACTTCTTAAAGAATCATTACTTTAGTGTTGAAAAGTTAGTGTTTTAGTACTGAAAATTTCTCGTAATGTAGTAATTTTAGTTATCAAAAAATGGATATTAATTACCTATAAACGTTCTTTTGCTTAGCATCCTGAGTAGCAGCAAGTTCAAACGTCAGAGGGTTACTGTTAGATGACCCTCCAGTGTTGTAAGCACTGGAACTATTTTCGTGTTCCTCCCCACTGCTATTACTCTTTGGAGGTTTCGATTTTTTCTTTGGCTCTTTTTTCTCTTCCTCTTCATTGTTCAACATTTCTCTTGCCACCCACGTGTCTTCCTGATGAACCTTCAACCACTGCTCAATCATATTCTCATCCCCAGGTTCGTAAGGATGTGAATAAATCGGTTCGACCTCACCATCGATGATTGAATCTTCTGGTATCGTCTCGTAAATATGCTCTGTATCTGATTCCGGGGGAGCTGGTATATTTGGTAACTGAGGAGGTTTGCGTTTGTCGCTTTTGAAAGAGATATTTTGCATTCGCACATCTAACTGGGAGATTTCCTGGTTAATGGAATCGATCTTCGATCGGACAAGAGAGTTAGTTAAATTAAGTTTATCGGTAAAGTGAGGTGGGACTTTGGGAGTTGTGGTCTCATTTTTCGGAGATTGCTGAATCTCCGCTTGTTGCTGAACTAGTTGTTCGATGATACTGTTTTGGTATGCGGCACTCTTGCCGTTTGGTGAAGTTAACGATTCGATTACCTCGGTGTCTAAGTATTCTTCACTCTGCACAAGAAAAAAGAAAGATTTTATTAGAACTTGGGAGATTTAAATCGATAAATGCTTGCTCCGAGCTTAAACGCAAGAGGGAGCCATAAATTCCAGCTTTAAACTCGTTCAAAATTAGAAAAACGCTTACCCTATTATAGCATCTGCTGACTAGTAAAGTAACAGCTTTCCTATTCTCAGCAAAAAGTATTTCAGTCTCTTCCTTATTTGCCACGTCTTTGCCATTAACCTTGAAAAATAAAAATAATTTATAGCGCTCTTCATTCTCTAAGCTAAAAATTGATCTTTATATTTATAACAAGCAAAATGAACCACAAATTCACCAAAATACAACAAAACACTTTATTTTCAAGACTGGACGCGCAACTATTTTTTTCGCTAACTATGTTAGCCTCATCAGCAAATGATTATAACTGCGTTAAAATTAGCTTTATTGATTGCTGATGATGCTAACATGGTTAGCGAAACGCGCGTCCATTGTTGAAAGTAAAGTATTTGCTAGTTAGATTATAGCGAATAAAAAAATTGTCTAAGTTATGCAGTATTTGATTAATCAAATAATATTTTGAAAGAAATGCGGTACATAAATTATTAAGCAATTTGTAATATAAGAGCAATAAAAAATATGGCAATATTTTATGGATACCTGTAAAATTTGATCACCCTGTCTTAATCTGCCATCTCTGTCTGCGACGCTTTGCGGCGCAATATCTCGAATATACACTTCAGTGCAAGTATCCACTTCGGAACCGGAGCTATAACACACTGTGAGCCCCAGTTTTTCGTCACTACTGCATTTTCTTAAAGTAACTTCCTGAAACAGAACGTTACACTGTATGAAACAAAATAAAACGGATTTTCCACTACAAGCAAAAAACGCCTCGTTTAAAAAATGACTTTTATTGGATACGGTTAGAAAATCTTTTGCGCAAAACTTTTTCTCTCTTGGAGTATTTTCGAGTGCTCGATAATAATTGTTCGTGCCAAAAAACTGCGCTCTTTTCTTTTAATTAAACCTTCTACTATACTCCCTATTACAGAAATAAAGATCCGATAATTTTCTAATAATCAATCCTTCTCCGTTAAATGGGGATTTCAAGCAATATGAATAGAAGAATTCATAGTAGTGTGCACTAGCCAGCATTTCATTACTTTACTTTATAATAATCATAAATCATTCTACAGTTTGAGTTTTATTATTTATAATATATTTTCGAGACAACTTTGTTAACATCAAAGAAGTTGAATACAGTTTCTTACATTAATCACACAGTTTACAATGTTGACCAGTAGCAGAAATTATCTTATTTAATCAGTAGCAGTAGTGATGAGTGAGACTGGCCTTGGTACTGCACAAAAAGCAACACCGTGCCCAAGAAGAGAAGAGATGATTGATTACCTATAACGGTAACGATGTCCCAAATAGTGAATGATATCCTGACTTCAATTTCTACTACGAACTAGGCTAAGAACTTCTGAAACATCTACAAGAATATGAACAGAAGCCATTAGCTCTGCAGTCGTCAAACAGCATCCTGAGTAGCAGCAAGTTCAAACGTCAGAGGATTGTTGTTAGATGACCCGCCAGTGTTGTAAGCACTGGAACTATTTTCGTGTTCCTCCCCACTGCTATTACTCTTTGGAAGTTTCGATTTTTTCTTTGACTCTTTTTTTCTCTTCCTCTTCATTGTTCAAACATTCCCTTGTCAACCACGTGTGTGAAACTGTCTCCATCTGGATCGACTCTAAGAAGCGAATAGAACGAATTTTTCATAAGAGAAACAAGGCTGGAATCATCGAAATAAGAGAAAGGGTGCATCTACCAGGTGCCTTGTGAATGCGGTGAGTTGTATATTGGAGAGATTAAACGTCCTCTAAATGTACAACTTAACGAGCATAAAAAACGTGTACAAAAAGGTGAAACAATGAAGTCAATAGTAGTAGTCTCTGCACATACTGTAATATGAATTAGAATTTAGAATTTAGAATGAGTGGGAGGGGGGTTAACCACTTCGACCTTACAGATCCATTGTGTCCCCCTTTCTTGAATCATAACTCATCATACAGTCCCAGGGCTTTGACAAAAGCCAGTATCTGGGACGGTTTTATAGAGGGTAGTTCTCCATCTCCAATATCAGTCGTACCAAAATTCATGGCACGAATGGTTGTCGTCTCGGCGCACTCAGTGATGAGGTGTACTGGTGTTTCCCCATCTTCCCCACAGAATCTGCATTCGCCGTTTCTTCTTAGTTTCAATCTACTGAGGTGTTCATTGAGGAGACAGTGTCCTGTTAAAAACCCCGTGACAATCCGAAGATTGTTCTTACTCAGACCCAGGAAGATCTGTGATTTTTCTTGATCATAAGCCCTCAGAAATACTGTAATATGAAGGTCGGTTATGATTTTCAAAAGGGCCGCAATATTGGACAGGCGGAGTTTTAGATTTTTCTTGAAAACTATGAGTGAACATTATGATTATGTAGGTAGTGAATGGGGCACAATTATTAACAGCAGAATATTATAGTTGGGTCTAATTATCTTAAATGCTAGAAAGCTACATTTTGAAAGGCGTATAAAATACAATGATCTAGTTTGGTCCTCACTGAAAATAGTAAAATTACTGTGGATAATTGATGTCAAATACATTATTATATAAATACTATGTGCATTAAATTAATATGTTTCAGAGGGAAATAGTGGATTATTTATTGTTTTATTATATGTATTGTTATTGTCGCATTAGTTGAATTTTGATGTAAAATGTTATCATTATTAGATAAATTAAAATTTGAAATTTAAATAATGCCTCAAAATAAACGAATTAGTATCAATTTGTCATTTAGTGGCGTTTATATTAATGGAATACAACGAACGTAAAATATGACAATAATGACTCTTATTTACACAAATAAAAACCTTTTCTTATATTTTGAACAGTTTTTTTCCAAAATAAGATCAAAATTCTCCTGCATGATTGTAAGTCAACTAAACCAAACAACAGTTACTTTTTTATCTTATGCTAATTCTAACAACTACAACGTGTGATTTGAACCATGAAATTTCAACACTAATAGATGGTGCTCGCAAAATGTCAACTAACGTGCAGCAACGAAAAGCAAACTGTGCCATAATGGCTGTACCAACAAAGCGCTAATTGAAGCACCATTGCTTACTTGTATATATTTATATAATTTTCGTGAAAATTCCAACAGGATTTGAGATAATAACAGAATTTTAAGAATCCTTGTACCATTTAAAAAAATATTAGAAAAAAATATAAAAGGTTGGAAATAGAAACTAATTTTAAAGTATTTCCCAACTTGACTATATTATGTTTGTCCGTTTTTGCCAGACAAAAAACAGCTTTGCTGTAGTTTTCTTTAAGTTACATGAGTGAGCACAATGTATTTTTTCGCCCAACCGTAATATGTTATTTTGATGTAAGAGGTCAATAGGAAATGATCTCTTATATGACAGATATCGTGAAGACTCGCTCCCTGCACATTCCATTATTTTCTTCCACTTCTTTGTACTTATCGATATTGGAGGACGACCACAGATTATTTATCGACTTTTCGGGCCTTTCAAAATACCATTTCTTTTTCTAAACATGTTTTGTCAATAAAAAATCGTTTATCAGAAATGTTTCTTCTTTTTTCTACTGCCGTACCTTAAACGAAGTTTTCATTTCCTCTTTGTTGTATTTAAAAATAAATCTGTCTATTAGTAAAGCTATTTTTAAGATGTGTACTATTATTTACAGCTTCAAAAATGTCTTCTGGGTATTTCGCCACTGTAAGAAAATCTACAAAATAAAATAGTTTATAAACAGACACCAATTTGTCAGCGGTATTTTACTAATAAAACAATTCGGACAAAAAATATTTAATATCTCAGGTGGTATATCTCCACCGGTCCTCGGAAGTAAAAAAAATAACAAAAAAACTATTTAAAATATCTAAATACAACTAATCAAGAACGCTTATTTATTTTTGTATCCTTTAGGCAAATTTGTTTTATTAGTAAAATACCTTTAAAAAATTGGTCTCACTTTTCAATACCGCTGACAATAATTGTAGATGTTTCTGGCGAGAGAATTACCCAGGAGATATTTTTGAAGAAATGAATCCGCAATGTTTTAGACATTATGTACTATTTTTTACTTGCCCGCTTAGTTATTAACAGCAAACTATACCGTGTATGAAAAATATTGGTACATAGAGAGCTTCAATTATATTTAATGGCCAAAAACACTACTGATATTGATATAATTTAATTTTATCCATTAAAGATGACAAGCTGTTCTTTAGATAATGCATCGTAATGGCCCAATCTATCATAAAATATAAAAGAAAATGGAATGAAGAGAAAAACAACAATATCTAGTTCAAAGAGACGCAGAAAAAGTGAAGATTGCGGATAGAAGAAATATGATTCGAAAGGAATAAAAGACAATGAAATTACTTAGAAAAAGGAACCTGCCAAACAGGATTAGTATGCATGGAAAATTTAAAACTAACAGAGCATTTGCCTAAATTTAAATTTGAAAACAAAATGTTACCGATGCGGTAGTGGTATTATTATGTAAATGAAAGAGCAGTTTTAAAACACTTAAAGGAAAAGAAGAACCAAACGAAACAGCCCTATTTATTATTAAATTTCGGAAGGCGGAATGGGAAAAAAGGAAACCTGATACTGATTTAATTTAATATGCATTTTTTAACAGAAGGGTCGGATATTAAAATCCACGTGACACTTTTGCAGGGGCTACAACACACTTCGTAATTCTAACTAACCTAAAGAAAAGGATCGGTTTGAATAATTCATAAGTTTGCTTTTTATTAGTACAAAAAAACGTATCACTGTATCTTGCAGATTTTCTTTTAGAAAAATGATTTCCCCAACTATCTGTACTTAGTGTTGTTCAATAAGCAGTACTTTTTAGAAATCTAAGTTGTACAGGATGATGCAACGATAACAATAGTATCAAAATAAATATCCTCAATCTAATAAGAAAATCTAAATAGTTTTTCGCCAAATTCTTAAAATGAACGATTTATTTCTAACCGATTTCGAATATTTTGTCAGTACTTGGATAGAATATTTACAAGAATTCAATACATTTTCATCTAAAAGCGTAAACCCTAACAAAAATAAATAAAACCTCTAGAGATTGTTAAAATGCAAAGAATGTTAAGATATCTTTTGAGATTTCTTCGGCACTAAATTCAGTGTTACTGATCTTAATCCACTATAGCCGGTGGCAAAATACTTAAGACTTTATAAAACGGAAACGGAGCAGCCGGCGTATTGTCACTTCTGTTGCGATATTAAATTTATCGTTCTATATAACTCCTAATAAGACAGGTATATATCGTCACAATTTAAATTAAGTTCAAAATTACAGCTATTGACCATAACAAATATTGATAATAAAAGATTACCTTATCTCCCACAATAAGTATTTAATTGTACATGTCTGAAGTACAAGTTAAATTACAAGAAAATACATCTGCTCAGTTTTTTATAGGCGATGGTACTGAAAGTAATTTACCAGAGCAGAGCAGGCCCTAGACACTCAATAGTAATTTTATGGAACTACAAATTTAGTTTCTTCCGCATCGCCAGGTGGCGCAAAAGATATTAAAAAGTACAGGTTTCTAATTTATATATGAAGGTGACATGACAGCCTCTATATTTACTACCATCTATGGTCTAGTTTTGGTCTAGTTGTCAAAATGTTGGTGATCCGTCAACAAGAACGGTAAACTAATAGGATTGCTCATCCTCATAAGACGTACGTTCGCCTCTTCC